GGGGGGGGGGGGGGGGGAGAGAGGATGCTGTCCTAGACCCATCGTCTGTTTTCCGGCGTTTCGGACTGCGTTGGTCGTGGAGTTTCAGGTTTGCCTCCAGGTCTCAGCCTTGCAACTAGCTATCTATCCCCAGCGGGGGTGTGCTTCCAAAAGGACGAGATTGACGTCATGTGCCACCCCAACGCGACGTTCACCACAACAGTACCACCCACGACCACGACCACGACCACCACCGTGGAAACGACGACGACGACCACACTCGAGCAGCTTGCTGCACTTCTACTAACTATTTTGCTTGAGAGCTGCCCTAGACCCTAAACTCCAAGTCCTATACCCTGAGCCCAAAATAACTAACTAATCGCCTTCCTTATAAGGGGAATGCAGGGATTATTGTCGACTTGTAGACCCTTTGAGTTCGGCAAGAAATGGGCCCTCTTTACACAAGCCACCCTTCAGCCAGAAAGCTCCCCCAGCCAGAAAGCCCCCCCCACCCCCTAAACAGTCGACTTCCGGAACCCCGAAATCCTGAAAACTCTACAAGTCCCAAGTCCCAAACGTCTAAGTCCAGAAGATGATCTTGGGGCTTGGGATGCGGCAGGCCTTATTGTCTAGACAGGTGGAGACACGGCCAAGAGACCAGGTGGGTTTATCATGGGTTCCCCTAGGGTTCCCCTACTACCCCCTCTATACGAGCATAATTAAGGCTAGTTTTGGGATAGCTAAGCCTAGTATTTCGTAGGGAAACTGATGGGTTTAGGGTTTGGGTCTTGGGGTGTAGGGCTTCGGGCTCGCACGCAATCTGCTCGGTTTTTCGGCTGTTGCCTCTGACTGAGGTCTCTCAGCAGTGGCGTCGCCTCAAGCGTTGCGGGTTCGGTGTGGACGGTGCAGGCTCCGGGGCTGAGTTTGCGGGGTTTAGGGTGTAGGGTTTAGGGTTTAGGGTTTAGGTCTTTCAGGGTTTAGGGTTTAGGGTTTATTAGGGATATTCGGGCCTTTTGATGGCCTTGATTGACCGCCCCTTTCCAAGGAGTTCGCGGAGTCCCGAGCTGTTTTAACTTATTTAGGGTTTAGGGTTTAGGGTTTGGGGTTTGGGGTTTAGGGCTTCAAAAAGGGGTATAAGGAGGACCCCTACAAGGGACCCTTAATCTTATTGCCCTTTTTCACCCCTACGTTTACCTTATAGTCCCTATATGCCGAAGTAGCCCCTAAAGAACCCCTAAGTAACCCCTACGGTGCCTTATAAGGGTCCTCCCTCTAGTCCCTTGATTCTTAGTTAGGCAGCCTTCGTAGTCCTTTTTTGTTTAAGGCTTTAGGGTTTGTGGGTTGCCATCAGGAGGGGGTACAGGGTGCCTAATTCCCAAATTTCCTGGAAAGAGCCGCTAAGTGTGTGGAGGTGATGCTTGCGTCCATGGTGGCCCTGGGCTGCAACGTGGCGAGGTGATGTAGACACAAGGGCTCAAGTGAAAACAGCTCTTGTAGTACTTTTTTCCGGATCAGGGTGACGCGTCCAACACTCTTGAAATACTCTGAAGCTTATATGGCTAGGGTTGAGAGTTTGTGATTTAGGGTTCCGGACGTCTTGACGTCGAAGCGGCGTTGCTTCATTCAGGATCTCAAGTTCGACACCTTCCAAAACCCTTCGAAGCCCCCACACTCCCCATGAAAGGAGCCTAAACCCTAAACCCTCAACCCTAAACCCTAAACCCTAACCCTAAACCCTAAACCCTAAACCCTAAACCCTAAACCCTAAACCCTAAACCCTAAACCCTAAACCCTAAACCCTAAACCCTAAACCCCAGACCCCAAACCCTAAACCCTAAACCCTAAACCCTAAACCCTAAACCCTAAACCGAAGCCTGTGGGAGCAAGGATCTCCCGCGGGGTTTTCAGTGGCGTAATTTCCCGCTCCAGCGCGCGCGGCCTTGATGTTCGGGGCTTTTTGTTTTGGGGCTTGGGGCGAGGGGTACCAGTTCGTAGATATCTTTCTATTGCTTAATTGCAGATCACCGCAAGGTATGCCTGATAGTGTAAGTTTGGGGTTTACGCAGGTATGGTGAAATCTTGAAACGTGGCTAGCAAGCTCAAGTGGCACACTCACCTCTACATCCTTAACCTTCACCCGTCTGATCACGATCATTTCCAGATGTTGGCCATTGGTGCGAGCTGACCCAGCTGTTACTTCCGACTGATCTGGTTTTTGTGTTTTTTTTCGGGTGTCGTACATGAGTAGGAGACCCTAAACCCTAAACCCTAAAACCCTAAACCCTAAACCCTAAACCCTAAACCCTAAACCCTAAACCCTAAACCCTAAACCCTAAACCCCAAACCTAAACCCAACCCCAAACCTTAAACCCTAAACCCTAAACCCTAACCCTAAACCCTAAACCCTGGAGGGCCAATCCCTCCACTTGAGGATAGAGTCCTAAACCTTTCGGGTTCCCACTTCTTTCTCCGGAAGGAGGGGGCTGGTGTTATCTTGGGCGGGAGGGGGGGGGGGGGTGCCCTATTTTTAAGGGAGCCTGAGGGAGTAGTGGGGAGTATTCGGGAGGGGTTGCGTACCCACCTTGCACCTCCTTCTCTTAAGAACCCCATAAAAACCTTAAACCCTGTAGTATAGTGTCAGGCACTGAAGCCAGGAAAGTCCCGAAACAGCCAAAGCCCCTAGGAATCAAGCCTTCAGTGAGTGACTCAGGGTTTCCAGATTCCCCTAAACCCTAAACCCTAAAGCCGAAACCCTAAGCCCCAAAACCTCTCGCTCTCGGGCCTGAAATTCTGCGTGGCCTGGACCGGTCGCACGGCTCTGGCTCCGCTGCTCGTGGTGTGGGGATTTTACGGATTTCGGGATTTCGGGGGAATTTGGGGATGTTGGGGAGGTGTTGGGGGATTTTTTGGGATGTTGGGGGATTTAGGGGATTTTGGGGGATCTAGGAGATTTCGGGGATGTTGGGATTTGGGGGCTTAGGGGGGCTTACGGGGATTTGGGGGCTTAGGGGATTTGGGGTTTAGGAGGGGATTTTGGGGGGCTATGGTAGGGGGTTTAGAGGATTCAGGGGAGTTAGGAGATTTTAGGGGATTTTCAGAAGTAATTGCTCACAAACGCCGGTGCCGATGGGCACGACACAGTGTCTCGCGCAGTCCAAAAAAAAGTTTCATGTGGTAGATAGGACAGCGCCCTTCATTGTGGGAGCTGAAGTATCAGAATTCCTGAACAAGAGCCCAGTCTAAGCCCAAGCCCTGAACTGTCGGTGCTTTGGTGCTTGAGGGGTGTAGTGCCCCGAAACCGCTATGTAGATCATTGCATTGTGTGTATACATATGCAAATACATACATACTTAGTTAGTTAGTTTTTTTTTTTGGGGGGGGGGGAGGGGCTTGTAGGGTGTTGGAGTTTTTGTTCAGTGCTTTGTAGCTTAAGGGGGTAGTCGGGTTGATGGCCGCCCAGAGGCGGGGCTGGAAAAGCAGGGAGCGGCCCGATCCCCGCAAATCTGGCGGGAGTCTATCTCGGAATTCTCGCCAAAGGGGGAAGCTGCAGTCTTTTGACTTGAGTTTGAGCGCTGGGATGTTCCCCAACTTAGCTTAGTAGTAGAGAGGTAGCCTTTAACCTTTTTGGGGCTATTCTAGTTCTAGTCCTTATAAAATCCCCAAGGTTAACCTTTAATTCCCCCAGGTTACTGGAGTCCTTAATAGGGATTATACAGTAACCTCTATAATCATCCCCATTAAGGGCTGTCAGTATAAGGGGGAACATCCGAACCCGAAACCTAAGTGGAGGATAAGACTCTCACCAAGGAAGCTGTGGATGTGTTTCTGAACCTGATCCGTTTACGTCAAAACTCTCAGTTAAACCCTTGGCCCTAAAGACATAGAACCCGTAAACTTGTAGAGCCTAATCTCTTTGGCCATTCCTAAACTTTAAACCGCAAACCCCTGAACTTACATTAACCCTAAGACATCCTCAAACCCTCAAATTAAACTCCGCTAGAACCTTCGACGCTCCTATAAAAGCCTTCTCGAGCCCGTAGGTTGCCAGTCGGGTGGACTTGGGGTAGGGGTTGACCGTTAGGATGCCCTAAACCCTAAACCCTAAAACCTAAACCCTAAACCCTAAACCCTAAACCCTGAACCCTGAACCCTGAACCCTAAACCCTAAACCCTAAACCTTAAACCTTAAACCGCTCAGTTTAGGCCAGGGGCTTGGAGGATCGTTTAGGGCTGAAGGTTCCGAACTTTGGGATGCAGGAGCTCCAGAGGTTTTCTAGTTTGGGGTTTAAGGTGTAGGGGTCTAGGGTTTTAGGGTTCAGAGGTTTAGGGTTTAGGGTTTAGGGTTTTGGGTTTAGGGTTCAGAGGTTTAGGGTTTAGGGTTTAGGGTTTAGGGGCCTTCGTTTCTGGCCTCCGGCTCATCCGGTGTTCCCGGGTTCTGGGGTTTATGGGTTAGCATGCAACATCCACGCAGCCAGCGCATCTGGTGACATCAAAACCAGGCTCGCCAAAGGGCGGCCTGGAACCACGGAGGACGTCCTGTTGCTGCACTCCTGCGCTCGAAAAGCAGAAGTCACCGCAATCGCACCTCGGGCGCAGCATCTCGGCCTCCTAGACCCTAAACCCTAAACCCTAAACCCTAAACCCTAAACTCGACACCCTCAACCCCAAACCCTAAACCCTAAACCCTAAACCCTAAACCCTAAACCCCAAACCCTAAACCCTAAGCCACTCTGCAGCCCACTTCGGCGCACTGGTGCGGCAAGCGTGGGCGATGGGCCCACCTTAGGGATACTAGGGCGGGGCCTCAACCAGACAGCTGCCCCAAAGCCTGACACCCGGAACCCTAAACCCTAAACCCTAAACCCTAAACCCTAAACCCTAAACCCTAAACCCTAAACCCTAAACCCTAAACCCTAAACCCTAAACCCTAAACCCTAAACCCCTAAATCCTGTACCCCTAAACCCTAAACCCTAAACGCCAAAACCCCAAACCCCGACAATGTCAAAACCGAAGCCGGGAGGTGCCTGGTTCGCCAGAGCCCAAGCTCGGCTCAGGATGAGGAGGGTTTAGGGTTTAGGGTTTAGGGTTTAGGGTTTCGGGTTGTAGGGTTGTGGGGTTTGAGCGCGCACTCCTCAAGATCCCCCCCAAGCCCTGAAGCTCCGAAACCCTCAAGTCCTTGCACCCCTCGATAGCATTTCGGATGTAGGGTGTCAGCGTGGTGTCGGGGCTGGTGGGTGTTGAGGGTTCTAAGCCCGAAGCGCTTCAACAATAAGCCCCAAGCCCCTAAACCCCTAAAGCCCCGGAGTTCCCGACCCCTGCACCCTCAATCCCCTAAGCCGCAAAACCCCAAAACCACGAAACCCCAAAACCCCAAAACCCCAAAACCCCAAAACCACAAAACCCCTAAAGCCCCCCTTAAGCCCCCCCAAGCCCCTCAAGCCCCTTAAGACCTCTTAAGCCCCCAAAGCCCCTTAAAACCCTGAAGCCCGCTAACATCCTGAGCGCTACAGGCATACCCACATCAACCACGTGACCCACGTGCATCCCGGACACTGGCACCACTCTGGGGTGCTCCTGGCATCTCGCTTTCTGGAGAGGGTTTAGGGTTTAGGGGTTTCGGGGTTGAGGGTTTAGGGTTTAGGGTTCAGGGTTTAGGGTTGAGAGTTTAGCGTTTAGTGTTTCGGGTTTAGGGTTCAGGGTTTGAAGTCGAAGAATAAGGTTACAGTTACAGCCCAACTAGCGTAAATGATCCCAGTTACGACTCCGAGTTTTGGTACCCCCCAAACTGTAGGAATATTCTCTCGTAACGCTATATGCGTCCCAAAGCCATGAAGTTGATGAATGACACGCTGACAGAGCAGGTAGCAAGCTCTTTGCGTGTACTGGCGCCCGAGGGTTTTACCCATGTGCAAAGTCACTGCTGAAGAGCTTCAAAAAGCTCCCTAAACCCTAAATCCTAAACCCGAAACCCAAAACCCTAAACACCAAACCCTAAACCCCAAACCCGAAACCCTCAACCCTAAGCTCTGCGCCTTCTGAGAACTTCACGTGCAAAGCGCAAATGTGAGGGAGACCTCGCGGGCAGAGCCACAGCACTCGCTTTCCCCCCCACCCTCAACGGAACCCTGAAGCTTAGAACCCACAATCCCGAAGAAGCCTGAAAAGCCTCCTACGTCCCCCCTAAACCCTAAACCCTAAACCCAAAACCCTAAACCCTGAACCCTGAACCCTGAACCCTAAACCCTAAACCCTAAACCCTAAACCCTAAACCCTAAACCCTAACCCCTAAACCCTAAACCCCTAAACCCTAAAACCCTACAACCCTAAAACCCTACAACCCTAAACCCCTAAGCCGAAACCTTCAACTGTTCGCCACCCTCAGGCCCCTAAACCCTGAGCCCTAAACAAGCCGTCAACGGTTCAAGGATTAGGGGTCTAGGGGTTTAGGGTTTAGGGTTTAGGGTTTGGGGTTTAGGGTTTAGGGTTTAGGGTTTAGGGTTTAGGGTTTAGAACCCTCGAACCCTCCCTCCGACAGCACTGTGTGACCCTGCCAGGATGGTGGGCCCCCTTACACCTGCACGGATACGGACCGGGGGCCTTGCAAAACAGTTGGGGTTTAGGGTTTAGGGTTTAGGGTTTGGGGTTTAGGGTTTAGGGTTTAGGGTTTGGGGTTTAGGGTTTAGGGTTTAGGGTCTAGGGTTTAGGGCAGCTTGTTGATCAGATGAAGCCCGCTTCAAAGGTCTCGGGAGGATGCCTAAGGAAGTTCGATCCGATGAGCCCGACAAGGTCTTTAGAGTTTAGGGTTCAGGTTTCAGGGACAGACCTAAACCCCGAACCCCAAACCCCAAAGGGCCTAATCCCCCAACCCTAAACCCCAAACCCTAAACCCTAAACCCTAAACCCTGAACCCAAAGCCCCGAACCCCAAGCGCAGAGCTCTTGTTTTGGGGAGGAGACGCCTTGGAGCAACACCAAGCGACAGTGGCCGGAGTCCCGGGAAGAGGGCTGACAAAAGTAGAACAGGAGACTCGTGGATGTTTAGGGTTTAGGGTTTAGGGTTTAGGGTTGCATGGAATCTTAGGGCATTGTAGGGTTTCGGGGTTTGGGGTTTCCTGGTTTGGGGTTTGGGGTTTGGGGTTTGGGTATTCTTTGGCACTAAGTCTGGTCAAAGGAAGTGGCAATCAGAAAACATACAACTTCTTGGTTCCTTTTCAGTGTAGTTACTTCCTCTCCTTTCCATCTACTCGCGTACAAGCAAAGGTGGCGAATCAACTGATTCTTGAGTGCTTTTGCCTATAGTACCAAGAGGTTTAGGATGGAAGTGCCTATAAGGTTGGGACGCAAGACTCAGAGAACTTGAATGCTGTACCCAAAACTTTGGTAGCAGCCTGGTGTCCTTGCAGAAGTATTCCAAATTGAGTCAGAAAAACGCAGTTTCACGCCCGATGTCCTTCAGCTCATCACATGAGTTTGTGGGGCTATGTTGCGAACACAGTAATGTCTTACGAATGCTCAGGGGAAAGAGCCTGATGACTTTGTATTGATATTGTCTGTTTGGGGGAACTGTGGGAGCGAAGTGAGGGTGTCATCGGAGGTTTGGCTTGTTGGCAAGACACAGAGCTTCAGGTACTGTAGGCCCCCTAAACCCTAAAGTCTAAACCCTAAATCCTAAACCCTAAACCCTAAATCCTAAACCCTAAACCCTAAACCCTAAACCTCTAACCCCTACACCCTTCCCTGAGGTGCTGCGCCCAGACACAGTGCAACGCGACAGCGTCGGAGCCCTTCGACTGTCTGGCCGACCTGACTTCCTGGGTCGGGAGCCCCGCTTAGGGTTTAGGGTTTAGGGTTCAGCATCTCAAGTCCAAGCATTCGCAAGTCAAGAAATTACTCCAGGAAAATACCCACCCGCCCAAAATCCCACAACATTAAGAAAATGTTTCACTTATGGAACGACCTTGCCCCGTAAAAAATGACCTTGCCCAGTAAAAAATGACCTTGCCCAATAAAAAATGACCTTGCCCAGTAGGAAAATGACCTTGCCCAGTAAAAACATGACCTTGCCCAGTAACTCCTTAACATTTAAATTATGTATGAAAGAGAGGTTTAGGGTTTAGGGTTTAGGGTCCAGGGTTTAGGGCTCAAGGGCTCAGGGGGGCTGAAGCTCAAGGGCGCAAGGGGCTTAAGGGTTTAGGGTTTCGGGTTTAGGGTTTAGGGTTTAGGGTTCAGCGGGGGTAAGGGCTTCCGTACATAAACGCGGCTTCGGGTGAGGGTTCTGGAATCTTGAGGGCCTGGAGTCGTAGGGTTTCAGGATTTAGAGTTTAGGGTTTAGGGCTCAGGTTTTGTTTTGGGAGTTGGGCATAAGTTCCGTTGGAGGAAATTTGGGAAGGGAGATTTCGATGGGTTTGGCGCTGAGGTCGTCGTTTCAGTGGCTTTGAGGATTGCTTGGCTTGAGGGACTTTAATTGGGATGTTCCCCCATATACTAACAGTTGCTAGTACCCCCGATTAGGATCCCTATTAAGGGTTAGTATAGGGGGATCCCCAGACTCTAGGGTTGCAGGGGGTGGTCGTAACGGAAGCGACTGGATCTTTTCGCTTCAGCAGAGGCACGTCTGATCACAACAGTCTTCTCGGAAGGGTGTGATAAAGCACGGGTGTTGTTCGCAAAAGGAAACTCATTCTCCCCGGAAGTGACACTAGTCGCTAGGTGCGATAGACTAGAGTTTCCAGGGTTTCGGAGGGCCTATCACAGTTGTCACAGTTGCTCAGTTGATCTTCTTCCGGCCATGGGCAGCTTCGACAGGTTGAAGAAATATCATGGGAGGGACAAGGCTCCAGCCAAGGAGAAGGAGAAGGAGAAGCCCCAGAAGACGGAAGAGGAGCTGGAGGAGGAACGGAAGCGCAAGGAGCAGGAGGAGAAGGAGGAGGAGGAGCTGGAGAAGGCTTGCGAGAAGTGGTGCGGCATCATCTGCAAGATCCTGATCCTTGTCCCCATCGTGGTGACCTACGTCCTCCTGCCCCTAAGGGAGCTGGCGGTGAGACCCGAGATGGTCGTGGAGAGCCGCAACCTCCCCCACAAGCGGGTGGTGGTGACCGGCGGCTGCTCGGGCATGGGTCTCCAAGCAGCCACGTCCCTGGCACAGGCGGGGGCCTCCGTGATCCTGGGCTGTCGCTCCGAGGAGAGCCCTCAGGCCTCCGCTGCCTTGCAGCAGCTGAGGAAGGTGGGGAAGACCAAGGCGCAGCGCCTCGGACTTACTTTTGAGATGCGTTCTTTTGTTGTCTTTGTGTCAGCACTTTCAACTTTCTTTCTTGCAAGACACTTTAGCCTGCTGTAGCACATGCGTACTGGAACTTCTCTCATGATTTTTGTCGGTTTCGAAAGCAGATGCTGCTCTCATTGCCCTCAGATCCCTAACCCTAAGCCCTCAACCCTCAACCCTCAACCCTCAACCCTCAACCCTCAACCCTCAACCCTCAACCCTCAACCCTCAACCCTCAACCCTCAACCCTAAACCCTCAGGCACGAGGTGTGGAGCCTGGAGCTGGAGTCCTTGGAGTCCGTGCGCTCCTTCGCGCAGCGCTACCTGGAGTCGGTGGGGAAGTTGCACGTGTTCCTTGGGAGCCAAATGAGCCTTAAAATAGGGGTTTAGGGTTTAGGGTTTAGGGTTTAGGGTTTAGGGTTTAGGTATTATGAACTTTAAAACTGGGGGGTCATGTACCCCAGGCTACTATAATTCCTATCAAGCTAGATGAACCATAAACCCTTTTAGGGTTCATCTGGTCCCAAGGCTGATCAACAATGCTGGCACGACGCAGGGCTGCAGGCTGACCGACGATGGGATCGAGGCCTCCTTTCAGGTCAACTACCTCAGCCCCTTTCTGCTGACCAACCTCCTCCTGCCTGCGCTCCAGGCCTCAAGCCCTTCGCGCGTCGTGCACGTGGTGTGCAGGGAGGGCTACCTCCGCCCTGCGCGGGGGTGGCAGCAGCGCTTCCCCGAAGGGATCGTGCAGGGCTGGCTGGGCTTGCCGGTGCCCATCCAGGAGGCCCTTCGTGTGGGCTCCCGGCGCATCAGCGCCTCCAGCCCTGGCGGCACCGGCAGTGCGGGCGCCAGCACCGGTGCCGGCGCCGGTGGCCCAGCCAGCCACGAGCTGGACGAGGAGAGCGAAGCGAGCGAAGTGAACGAGAGCGGCATCGAGTGGAACCTGGACCGCTGCCGGGTCAGCGACGCCTACGGCAACGCCAAGTTGGCCAGCCTCACCTTCGCGCTGGAGCTGGAGAGGCGCCTCCGCAACGCGGCCGAGTACGACGGCGTCACCTCCCACGCCATCAACCCGAACACCGTCCACACCGACTTCCAGAAGCTTGCGCTTTTTTGTTCTAGCCCAGTGGCGCCCTTCTCCCCTTTTTTTGGGGTTCAAGGTTCCCTGATGAGGTAAGCAACCCTAAGCCCTAAGCCCTAAGCCCTAAGCCCTAAGCCCCAAACCCTAAACCCTAAGCCCTAAGCCCTGAGCCCTAAGCCCTAAGCCCTAAGCCCTAAGCCCTAAACCCTAAACCCTACTGCAAGATGGCTCCTGGGCTACCAAGGAAGCAGCTCGGGGCCAGCTCGGAGCGCTCCGCCATGTCCTACTTCCCCCCGGTCTGGATCGCCGGGAAGGTTCGGGGGATTCAGGGCGCGGGGTTTAGAGGTTAGGGTTTCCGATATTAGGGGGACCTTATCGGGGTCCTATAGCGTAAGCCCTAAACCCTAAACCCTAATCCCGAAACCCGAAACCCTAAACCCTAAACCCTAATCTCCTTCCAAGCCTCCCCTCCTCTCCAGGTCTTTGGCTTCCTAGGGACCCGGTTCCGGGAGTTTACGATGCGGTCTGTGCAGCTTCGCCCTGATCTTCTAGCAGTCGTTTTCAGGTTGTGATCTAAGGGTTTAGGGTTTAGGGTTTAGGGTTTGGGCTTGAGGGCTTAGGGCTTCGGGTTTAGGAGTTGAAGGTTGTACTGCAGGGTTTGAGGGTCTTGGAGCCTTGGTTTTTGAGCCCAAATCCCGTGAGGAGCGAACACCCTAAAGCTCTAGGAATCCTAGGCAGCACGGTGCTGCTGCCATCTTCCATGTGGCCACAAGCCCGGCGCTGGAGGCGAGGGCAGGTGGTTAAGTTCAGGACTTGAGGGTTTTACAATTTGGGGTTGAGGGTTGGGGGGTGCGTGGGTTTCACACCCTATAGATCACTAGGTCCCGGGATTGGGACCCTCGGAGTTTTTGGGCAACACCAACACCGCACACATGAAACCCCAAACCTCAAACTCTATGTACCCCAAACCCTGTGCACTCTCTTAACGCCACAAACCCAGCCCGACGGCATTTTTGCGTCACGGGAATCTCTAGAATGTGTTGGGTCCCCTAAGCTCTTCGAAACGCACGGTAAGGACTCGCGACCCAAGAAGGCGCCCATAATTGCTGCCTTAAAGCATAAAGACCCTCTAAGAAGCATCGCGTAATGGAGACACAGAAATCCCTGAAACCCGAAACCCAAAACCCTAAACCCTTTTAACCCCTGAACCCCTAAACGCCTAAACCCTAAAACCCTAAACCCTAAACCCTAAACCCTAAACCCTAAACCCTAAACCCTAAACCCTAAACCCTGAACCCTGAACCCTGAACCCTGAGTCTATCGGTGGGGGCCTCTTCGACGACATGGAGACGGCAGCTCGGCTTGTTGGTGGGGTATCGCATTTTTTGGTTTCTCGAACTTGTGTATATCCTGAACCCCAAAAAATTCGCAGTTTTCGGCGCAGTTGGGGTTAAGGTTTAGGGTTGGGGTTCAGGGTTTGGGGATAGGGTTTAGGGTTTAGGGTTTGGGGTTTAGGGTTTAGGGTTTAGGGTTTGGGGTTTAGGGTTTAGGGTTTAGGCCAGGCAAACTTCCTGCGCAGGGTCTTGAGGGTCTGGAGGCGCTTGGAGGTTTTTAGGGGGAAGCTTCGAAGCAAGAAACTATAAACCCCTAAACCCTAAAAGCCTAAAACCCTGAAACACTGAGACCCTAAAACCCTAAAGCCCAAAAGCCCCAAAGCCCTAAAACCCTAGAACCTTAAACCCTGAAACCCTAAAACCCCAAGCCCCGAACCGTATACCCTGCACCTTAGGCTGGACCCTGACACTGCAACACTCCCAACCCTGAACCACAAAACGGGAGAAAACCAAACACCAAAAACACTAAACGCCCAAACCCTGCACCCTAAACCCTCAACCCTAAACCCTAAACCCCAAACCCTAAACCCTAAACCCCAAACCCTAAATAAACTCCCAACCCCGAGGCCTTCACCAAGTGCGGGCGCAGCCCAGCCTTCTGCGGGCGGGTTCCCGCCGACTGGCTTCCGGCTGTGAGCCTGGACGAGCAGGCCTGTCTTGGTGCTCTGTTGAGGGCTTGGGCTTGGGATCTTGGGTTTGGGGTTTAGGGTTTGGGGTTTAGGGTTTGGGGTTTAGGGTTTGGGGTTTGGGGTTGAGGGCTCAGGGTTTAGGGCGACAATGGGGGCCTTAATGATTAAGACTAGGGTTTTAGGAGACCATAAGGTTTAAGGGCATAGGGTTCCAGGTTTAGGGTTTTAGGGTTTTAGGGTTTTGGGGTTTAGGGTTGAGGGTTTCAAGGTTTGTGGCTTCAGTTTTCTAGGCAGACATTGTTTTAGGTTTGTGGCTCGGGATAGGTGTTTGCGTGTTATCTTGTTTGTTTGGCATGGTTTGGTGCTTCTGCTGCTGAGCGGCTTCTCTTACACCCGAAGCTCAACAAGAAGTGGCAGCGCCCAACTTGTGACTAACGCAACCTTTGAATCCTTCAACAAAAGCCGGGTGATAAGTCGGGCCTTTAAACCCTAAATTCTAAACCCTAAACCCCTAACCCTAAGCCCCTAAACCCCTAAACCCTAAACTCCTAACCCCCTAAACCCCAAACCATGCTTCTCGCATGGATCGTCCGCAGGACCACTTGCATAAACTCCTAACTCCTAACCCCCTAAACCCCAAATCCTGGAACCCCTAAGCCCTAAATGCAACCCGAACGATTGAGGCTGCGAAGCAGCTGTGGAAGGCCAGCGAGGAGTTGGTGGGCCTCGAGGTTGGGTCTCTGCTGGATTGTCCGGTTGGGGTTTGGGGTTTAGGGTTTGGGGTTTAGGGTTTAGGGTTTGGGGTTTCGGGTTTAGGGTTGGGGGGCTTTGCGTGCTTTCCCCACCCGACAAGTGGGGCAGTTGGATTTTAAGGACAAAGTGGCACGCATCGTGTGACGCGATGCAGTCAGGACAGTACAAGGACAGCAGGTAGGACAGTTGTAAGGCAGGACAACCGATACAAGATTCCGGACATTACAAGGACTGCAGGACAGGGAGACCCTAAACCTAAAACCCTAAACCCTAAACCCTACACAATACAAACAAATAAAATGCGAATACCGCAAGTATTAAACAGAGCTCTAAACCCTAAACCCTCAACTTTAAGCCCTAACCCTAAACCCTATTAGGGTTCGGGGTTTAGTTTAGGCTTTTAGCCTGAGCCCTAAAAATCCCTGAAGCCTCAGCTCTCAAAAAACAAACCCTGAAAGTAAACCCGGACGCAGTCCCTGAGCAAGAAATCAGCTTCAAATCAGATGAGGACCCCGAATGCAGTTCCCGGAGTTCAGCCTCAACCCTAAAACCCTTCTTTTGCCTCAAGTCCAGGCTGCGCCCAGAAGCTGCGCCGAGGACGACGGAGAGACATGTGAGCTCGAGTGAGAGACCAGCGTGGGTTGAGGGCTTGGATGACTGTCAGGGTTTAGGGTTTAGGGTTTAGGGGTTGTAGGGTTTCAAGGTTTTGGGGCTCCAGCCAGGGTTCTGGGTCATCCCGAGCAGCCTAAGAGGGCATGCAGGGTCTGCAATTCCCAGAGCATTCAGGGGGGACCCTTAATCTTATTCCCCTACGTTATATAAGCCCTAGATATACCTCCTATAGTCCCTAGATACTTAAGTAGAACTCCCCTATATCATATAACCCCTAGACATACCTTCTATAGTCCCTGATACTTAAGTAGAACCCAAAAAAACCCTCAAGTGGCCCTAAGGTCCCTTATAAGGGTCCCTCCTTTAGCCCCTGGAAAAAGCGCAGCCATTCGGATTCCGAATTTCCAGACCACCCTGCCGGACGCAGATGAACTCCGGCGGTCGTCTCAAGGCTCTGCTGCCGTTTAGCTTAGGGCTTAGGGCTTAGGGCTTCGGGCTTAGGGTTTAGGGTTTAGGGTTTAGGGTTTAGGGTTTAGGCTTTAGGGTATCTGTCATCCCGGAACTTGAGCCCTTGATGCCACAACCCTGGACCCTCACTTCTAAGTTTTGCCTCCAAACCCAGTGCCTGAATTCGACTCATGACGCAAAAACAGAATCTCGATTGCAGGTGCACAGAACGCGTGGTTTCACCTGTAGACTTGCATGCTTCGCGGAAGCCCAGGAAAACTGCCTCCAGCAAGCTCCAAACTCCTTGGCTTGCAGTCCTGAAATCATCGTGCGTTTAGACATAGCGTGGCAGGTTGCGGGTATAGGGCTTAGGGTTTAGTGTCTAAAGGCATGAGATTTATTCCTCTTGGAGCCCTAGCGGTGACTGGTGCGAGACAAGAATCCAGCTGAAGTCTATTCTCGTCTACCCGGCAGAAGTCTTTGCAAAGCCCAAAACCCTTTCTCCCTCTACACCCAAACCCTCAACCCTAGGACCCTCACTGAATGCCAAGGCAAATGACTGGAGCCTTCAGAAGAAGAGCTGGCGCCGTCCTGAAGACATTTCTGCGTTGGGTGCGGGAAGGGTTGTAGGGTCTCGATGCAACGAAGATCTACCAGAGTCACAGTTTTTTCTTTCTCCGCGGTTTGTGGCTTACGGGCTTCGTTGGCCCAGGTTCGTAGGCCCTGTGGATGTAATCCCCGCCCGAGGTGTTGGGACTCGGATGAGGCGGTGGATGAGGACCTCTTCGACTGCGACAAGGGGCTGGCCAACGCCGCCGTAGCCCGAGAGGGATCAGGGTTTAGGGACTCCAGGGTGGCTTTTTGTTGGGATTGGGATGTTTCTCCGAAAATTAACCGTCCTTAATAGGGATGATTGTACCCCCCTACTATGATCCCCATTCAGGACTGTTAGTATAAGGGAGAACATCCCAAGTTGAGGAGTCTTAAGTAGATCTGCCAGACCACTTCCCCACCCTATGGCCTGCTTCCACCAATCCTAGCATGGCCGGGGTCGAGCGTGGGTGGAGCCAAAATGCGGAACCCTAAGCCTAGACCCCTGAACCCCCAAACCCCAGAACCCCTAAACCCTAAACCCTAGACCCCTGAACCCCCATGAACCCCAGAACCCCTAGACCCTAAACCCCTGAAACCCCCAAACCCCTGAACCCCTAAACCCTAAACCCTTAAGGGTGTGGTGTGACGCTTGAGGGATCACGGTCCGCGGCCAAGGATCGGGGCTGGTCCACGGAGAAGAAGAATTGGCCGGGACCCAAGGGTTTAGGGCTTTTTTGAGGGTTATCATAGGGGTTTAGGGTTTGGGGTTTAGGGTTTAGGGGGTTAAGGGTTTAAGGGTTAGAGTATAGGGCGGAGGGGTGTAAGGTTTGGAATCGTGGTTTGTGGTTTTTGGGGCTGCTTAGAGTCTAGGGGTTTAAGGTTTTGGGTGGAAGGGTTTAAGGGTTTGGGGTGGAAGGGTTCGAGGAATTTCGGGGGTTTAGGGGTTTAAGGCGTGAAGGGTCTGGGGTTAGGGTTGTTTTCGGATCTCTTATAGGCTCTTTTTAGGAATCTTCGTCGCAGGGCTTTAAAGGCCCACCTCGCTCAGTCTTGCTGGGGCTTCGGAGTTTAGGGTCTATGGTGGAGGGTTGAGGGTGCATAGCATGGATACCAGTACAAGAGTTTCTGACATCCTTGTAGGCTTCGGAAATGGTGGGGGGGTTCCGACGACGGGGGGGGGGGGGTACCTTTTTGGGGGGTCCCCTTTACAGGGTGCTGTTCTTTTTGGGGGTATGAACGGGGTACCCCTCTGTTGGGAAATACCAAAATGTTGGGAAATACCAAAATCCTCCCTAAACCCTAAACCCTAAACCCTAAACCCTAAACCCTAAACCCTAAACCCTAAACCCTAAACCCTAAACCCTAAACCCTAAACCCTAAATACACAAAGAATGGTCAGGGTGAAGAGTGTGGGTTCTGGGTTCTGGAGGGTGGAGGTATGGGGGTGTAGGGATGGAGGTGCTTTGAGGCTTGGGCCAGCTGCCAGCTTGCGCAAGCCCTACATCCTAAACCCTAAACCCTGAACCCTAAACCCTAAACCCTAAACCCCTAAAACCCTAACCCTAAACCCTAAACCCTAAACCCTTGTGAGGTGCTGCCGTACAAAGAAGAAGGGGTGCCAGCAGTTCTTCGACTGCGACCTGGACCTCGACAACTGGGCCCCCTGAGCTCCGTTAGGGATGCGGGCGGTCAGGGTTTCGGGCATGCCCCCTGAACCCTGAAGCATCCTGAAGTCCTGAAGCCTTAAACTCTAAACCCTAAACCCCAAACCCTAAACCCTAAACCCTAAACCCCTGAACCCCTGAAGCCTAAACCCTGAACCCTGAACCCCTGAACCCTAAATCTTGAACCCCTAAACCCTGATTCCTTGAAACCGTTAACCCCAAAAGGTTTAGGCTTCCGGCTGACTGAGCGCTGGGTTCGTGTATGGTCTTGCGCCATCGGTATCATGACTATCATGTTTGCCGCTACTTCAGCATCATCATTACCAAAACATCAGTGTTGTAACCCTCAACCCTAAACCCTCAACCCTAAACCCTAAACCCTAAACCCTAAACCCTAAACCCTAAACCCTCAACCCTAAACCAAGTTGTTGTGCTTCGTCCACGAAGAGCGAAGCTCGCGAGCCTCAGCCTTCGAAGCCGAAGTTCGCGAGCTTCATGTAAGTGCGCTCATCCTAACTGGGGGTTTACGAAATAGGGGACCCCTAACATACACTCCAGAATCGTAGGAATTGCTTCAAAGAAGGACCCAGAATAAGGAACCCCCGTCATCGGACAACCCCAAGTGTTAGTTAGGTATCTTTATCACCATTTTAAATCGTTCTGATCATCCTGACCATGGTTATCTGTCTATCGGCCTATGCTATCATGAACACAATTGTTGGAGTTTAGGCTTTGTGGTTTAGGGTTTGGGGGGTCTGGCGTTTGAGACATGCCTGGAGGGCTCAGAGCTCACAACGTTGAGGGATATACACGGTAAGTTTTCAGAACGAACAGATTTGAGTTGGAGTTTAGGCTTCACAGGGCTTCAGACTTCAACCCTTCCCAGCTGGCCAGCAGATGCCAGGAAACGGCGTGGAATTCAACAAAGAAGAAATGGCCGCTGACCCAGTCGGATTGCCGGGCTTTCAACCCCAAGCCTTAGAGAGCACAAACAACGAACCGCAAACCCCGCTGAGCCCCCTCAACCTCCCAGACCCTCCAACCTCCAGCAACCCTACGCCCCAAAACCCCATACCCTAACAAACCATCCAACCCTAAAAGCCCCCGCAGACCCCAAAAACAATTAAGTACCCGTAAGAGCCCTTAAAAGCCCGAAATTCTAACTAAAGAACCCTACTAAAGATCCTACAAAAACCCCGAAAGCTCGTCCTCTCGAGGTGCTGGGACCACGAGCAAAAGGGTGGCAGCGCACCCTACAACTGCGAGGACCCGGCTCCTCATGGGTTTAGGGTTTATAGGGTCTTCAGGGTTTTTACTTTTTTTTGGGGTTTAGGGTTTGTAGGCTTCAGGGGTTTTAGGGGCCTTTCAGGGGGCGCCAAGGAGAGGGTTCGTAAGGGAGGGGGGTTCAAGGGGGGTAGGTGCCTAGGGAACTTTAGGGAAGCTTAGGGAGCCTTAGGGAGTAGTGGGGGGTATTAGGCAACCTTGGATTACATACCCCTTGGGTTACATACCCCCCTTGAACACCCCCCGCTAAAGAACATTATAGGAGTGGCACAATTACGCAACGACCCAAGAAGGCCTAAACCCCAACAGCCCTGAATGAAGCCTTAACAAACCCTGCAAGCAACAACTAGCTAGATCCTAAACAAAAGACCCTAAGTACCCTAACAACCCTAAAAAACCTAAAGGGTTTAAAGCCCTAAAGCCCTAAATCCCTAGTTAAAGACCCTGAAACCCTAAACACCCCCGGAACACACCAAACAACCCTAGGCCGGGGCATCATGAATACCCTACCTGAACATCATAAAAACACCCTAGAACGCAGCTTCCCTAGACCCCTAAAGCTCCAATCTCCCGAAACCCTAAAAGCCTAAAGCCTAAAGCCTAAAGCCTAAAGCCTAAAGCCTAAAACCTAAAGCCTAAAGCCTAAAGCCTAAAGCCTAAAGCCTAAAGCCTAAAGCCTAAAGCCTAAAGCCTAAACCCTAAACCCTAAACTCTGAACTCTGAACCCTGAACCCTGAACCCTGAACCCTAAACCCTCAACCCTCAACCCTCAACCCTCAACCCTAAACCCTAACCCCCTAAACCCCAAGCCCCAAAAACTTGAAAAGCCGGAAGCTCCCGTCAGGATCATCTCGCGGATTACGCCGAGGCCTGGACCCCGCCGAAGAAGGCCCGAGCCTGTCAGGGCTGAGATTGTTTAGGGTTAAGGCTTATACAAGGTTTGTACAAGGCTTATACAAGGGTTATACAAGGGTTTAGGGTTTAGGGTTTAGGGTTTAGGGTTTAGGGCTTGGATTTAGGGTGAAGGCTTACGTAAGGGTTTAGGGTTTAGGGGTTCAGGGTGCTTGATGTAGGCTTTAACGTTTGTGTCCGTTTTGGGGTGCCTCGGGTTTTGGTTTTGGTTTTGGGGCTCCGGTGCTTCGGGTTTAGGGATTCAATGGTTTAAGAGGGGACTTGAGGGGCACAGGAGGGTTCTTTCGGATCGTGTTGCTGCGGTTAACCCCACCCCACCCCCCTCTCATGAGCCCCCAAGGCTCCACAACTCTGGTTTTGCTGCTAGAGATCGTACTGAAGTCTGATCACCCTAAGCCCTGAGCCCTACCTAAACCCCCAAACCCTAAACCCCAAACCCTAAACCCCAAACCCAAAACCCCAAAACCCCAAACCCCCTGAAGCGTCCGCCTCCGTGTGGCTGTTGCCAGGAGTGGTGCTGCGCGAACGAAAACCTGGGCTGTGGTGAGACCTACGACTGCGAGGCTTTGCTTTCTGCGACCTTTTGGATGTGGCTCCAGGGTTTGAAGGGTTTACGAGAAAAGGTCGGCATCAAGGTGTAAGGCCCTGTCCCTCATGGTTTCCATATTGCAAGTTCTTAGTCGGAAATTGGGGACTTCGGTAGGGTGCCTGATATCTTCGTATGGAACCCTAAAAGGATTCTACAGGGGGATGGATTCCCGAACAGAGCCAGCAAGCTACGCCTGCTGATTTCAGGAAGAGAATGAGGGAATTCGGCACCTGATACGCCGCAATGTAAACCTCAAAGGGGTTCTATTGGCTACTTAAGTCCTTCAATTCCCTTCTACGAACCAGTAAGCTCTAAAACCTAAACCCTAAACCCGAAACCCTAAACCCTAAACCCTAACTCCCTGGGCTGGTTGCCCCCGAGGAGCTGACACTTTGTAGCATCAGCTTCCAGGTTCAGCGCCTTGGGGGCCCCACCAACGCAGGCCCTCAACGCCCAAACCTTAAGCTTTGAGGGCTAATGGGCCCTAGACCCGAAACCCGAACCCTAAACCCTGAATCCTAAACCCTAAGCCCTCAAGCCCCCTGTAACTTGAAATTATTCAAGAAAGCCAAAAAGCGCAACTTTCCTCGAAACTTTACCCGTACCTGAACCCTGAATAATTTCAATAAATCCTGAACCCTAGACCGCTAGGGTTTCGGGCGTTTGGGGAATGTGGCCCTGCCACCGTAAAACGCCTTCAGACCGGCTTCGAGAACTGGGAGACCGAGTGGACAACCCCGCAGACTCTTGGCCCTGCGGGGTTCAGGGCGTAGGGTTTAGGGCTAGGGTTAGGGTTTGGGGTTTGGGGTTTAGGGTTTAGGGTTTAGGGTTTAGGGTTTAGGGTTTAGGGCTAGGGTTTAGGGTTTGGTGTTCGGGATATGTAGTTTTATATCATCTTCTGCTACATCTTATGCTATGTTATATCTTTTAGGATGTTGCTCTCTATGTATAGGGTTTCGGGTCCAGGTCTTCCGGTTGACGGAAGTTCAGGGGGCTTTCCTTCAGTCTGTTGCGCTTCGGCTCTGAGGAAGCACTTCTGCTGCAAGACGGCCCAGAAAGCCTGTCGGGCGCCTCGGGATCGGCAGCTCTCAGTGTGCCCCCCCTGCAAGGACTGCAACATTCTCTATAGTAGAGGCCAGAAAGGTTGGAAACTCAATAGCCGCAACCCCTGAGAGTAAAGTATATGGAATCCCAGCACTATGTGTCCCTTAAAAGGTTTCCAACTTTTTGGGGTTTACTGTAGTGACACTGAGGCTACGACTGCGCGGCTGGCTTTGCGAACTGGGAGAGGCCCCCTTAAAAAAACTCTCGGGTCCTTAAGGGACGGGGGGTTCAAGGGGGGTCTGCAACGCAAGGTTCCCTAGTACTCCCCACTACTCCCTAAGCTATCAAAGGAGAGAGAGGGAGCTACGAATAGGAAGACGAGGCAGGAAAGAAAGTCAGGGACCGAGCTCACAAGAGAAGGAGAGACCCTCAAGCTTGCAAAGCCACAAGTACCCAGCTGAACCTCAAGAGATTGTGTGGGCTGAGGGTCAGTATTCTCTTCGCATTCACTTCGCTTCCTCGTTCACTTCTGTTGCCCCTATAGTCCGCACGCGGCTGTTTCAGCAATTTCTCAGGCTGAGTGTGTTCTAATTTGTTTTCGCGCCGCCCTCCGAAGTAGGAAGGTGCATGGACAGTCCCGATATGAACGCATGCTTCACTTCTGTTTCATTGGGAGCAAGAAAAGGGTGAGAGAGATGAATGGTACATCCTAAAGGTGATCATAAGGGCTAGAAATGTGCGGTCATCTAGACCCTTCTTGCGGTACCCTAATGAACCGAACTAGGTGTCCGCGAGTGATGAACAGGACCAAGGTATGAGAGTTAGGGTCTCAACGGTCAGTGCGAGTATCCTATTCTCAGGGGCGGTTGACCTTTCCCTTAAAACAGTTACCGCCTTGAGGATGAACACGGTGAACAAGAGTGAAGGGGTGACGTCCCAACAGACCTGTTGAACGACCCCAGCTACTACTAGCAGAGCTAAGTCACTGGTTCTTTGCGTTTGGAGGGGTCGTCGGGGTTGTGGGGTGCCCAAACCAGAAAACACACTGTCAACTTTCAGTCCCAACACGAGAACTGTTGAAAACCAGGGCCGACTTCCAGAATTGGACTCCTTCAAACGCAAGATCCTTCTAGCCCCAAGGTTAGGGTTTGGGGTTTAGGGTATAGGGTTTAGGGTCTAGGGTTCAGGGTTTAGGGTTTAGGGCAGCTCTCTTTCGCGACAGGGGCTGGTCTGCAGCCAAGAAGAAGTACTGCTGCCAGAAGGAGCAGAAGGCCACCCCCTTAGGGACGTGCCCCGGGAGGTTAGGGTTTCAGGTTGAGCCCAACTGCTCAACATACTTTTGCCATCAAGTTAGATACCGATCTACCCGCTTTATGTAAGCTCAAAACTCTGTCCTGCGAACTGAGCTCCGGATGGGTTTAGGGTTTAGGGTTTAGGGTTTAGGGTTTAGGGTTTAGGGTTTAGGGTTTAGGGTTTAGGGTTTTCGGGTTTAGGGTTTAGGCTTTCCGGGTTTAGGCCCCAACCTGCAGCCCGAGTGAAGGTGTGTAGGGGTTAAAAGTTTGGGTCGCCGGACCTGATGCTTAGTAGCTGAGTAGAGAACCTTTAACCTTGGGTTTAGGGTTTAGGGTTTAGGGTTTAGGGTTTAGGGTTCAGGGTTTCGGGTTGGTACTCAGCAACTAGGGGTGTCCCAGGCGTGCCACAGCTGTCTGGCAGTCAATGAGATGACCAGCTGGTCCGATGAGCACAGGGCGTGCCCCTGGGGCAGGGGGGGACGACGAGGGGTCTACGCTCCAAAGCCCTTAACCTTAAACCCTAAAGCCTTAACCCCTAACCCCTAACCCCTAACCCCTAACCCCTAACCCCTAAACCCTAAACCCTAAACCCTAAACCCTAAACCCTAAACCCTAAACCCTAAACCCTTAACCCTTAACCCTTAACCCTTACACAATTCCAGACTCCATGTTCCGACCCCATGCTCCACTTAGGGCTCCAGCTTTGTGGGTCACCTTTCGCCTCTCTTCGGTGGTCGGTCAGTTGCTGGAACCCTTCTTGGAGCCCCTTGTTCCCCAAAGGAGTGGGCGTTTAGGGTGTAGGGCTTTCCCTAAACCGTAAGCCCTGAGCCCGAAACCCTAAACCCTAGATCCTAAGCCGTTTGGGGGCGGAGGTATTGCTGCAACGCCCACAACGTCGCGTGCCACGACTGCTCGGGAGACGCCCGGGATCCAAGTCGAACCCCCTGGACCACCAACCTCCCCGGCAAGAAGACTTAAACCCCAAACCCCAAACCCCAAACCCCAAGCCCCAAGCCCCAAGCCCCAAGCCCCAAGCCCCAAGCCCCAAGCCCCAAGCCCCAAGCCCCAAGCCCCAAGCCCCAAGCCCCAAGCCCCAGCCCCAAGCCCCAAGCCCCAAGCCCCAAGCCCCAAGCCCCAAACCCCAAACCCCAAGCCCAAAGCCCCAAGCCCTAACCCTAAACCCCAAACCCCAAACCCTGAACCCCAAACCCCAAGCCCTAACCCTAAACCTGAACCCCAAACCCTGAACCCTAAACCCTAAACCCCAAACCCCAAACCCAACCCTAACCCCAAACCCAAACCCTTAACCCCCCAAACGCCCCAAACCCTAAACCCCAAACCCCCCAAACCCTAAACCCCAAGCACCTTAAACCCGAAACCCCAAACCCTAAACCCCAAGCCCCCGAAACCCTAAACCCGAACCCCCCCCCCCCCCCCCCAAACCCTAACCCTAAACCTTAGAGAATGCTGAGGTTCATACGTTCGATGCAGTCAAGGAGGACTGTGGGGCAGAGCCATGCCGAAGCCCCCAAGTCCCCCCCCCCCCCCCCCCCCACCACGCGAAGCCTTGACCCCCAAGACCCTCAATACCTTAGGGCCCCAGTTGGGGTTTAGGGTTGAGGATTTTTTAGGGTTTAGGGTGTAGGGTGTAGGGTTTAGGGTGTCGGGTTTAGGGTTTAGGGTTTAGGGTTCAGGGTTTAGGGAATAGGGAAGCCCCACAAGCCATGCGCTTGAAAGTGGACACCCCGCAAAGCTTGAAAGCTCCATCGCAGGACCCATCTTAAGACTTTTGGTGCCCTGTATCACCGAAGAAGATCCTTTCTTTTCATGGTTTGTATAGGGAACCTAGTCCCCAACTCCTTTACAACAAGATTCAGCAGGCGTGGTGCTGCGCGAACGAGGGCCACTGTGTGAAGCAAGGGGCCGAGCAGTTCAGACCTCGACCCGAAGCCCGGAAACCGTAACATAGGGGCCTTAGTAGTTAGAATGCAGGGTTTTGGGGGGTTATTATTAGTACATATATATATATATATATATATGCATATGAAGGGACCAGAAGTGCACGACTAGCAATCTTTTCCGACCCCTGCTGTGCGTTCTGCAAGCCCTGCGTAGTTCTCCCAAAACCACAGAGCCCTAACACTGAAACCTGAGCCAGGGAACCCTAAGCCCACTTAGGGTTTAGGGTTTAGGGTTTGGGGTTTAGGGTTTAGGGTTTAGGGTTTCGGGTTTAGGGTTTAGGGTTTAGAGCTGTCCCCTGTTCCTTGAGACCCTTTAGGGCCTTCCAGGGATCACGGGGGCTTTGGGGGTCGGAGGGCCGACCCCTTACCCCCAAATTGTTGAGCCCAAGTGCAGATGCAGATCACCCCAAGCCACTAAACCCATAAACCCCAAACCCCCGAAACCCACAGCAAACCTTGAAGCCCCAACGAAGTACCCTTAAACCCTGAACCTTATGGAACCTACAACCCTGGACCCTGAGGCCCCTGCAGCCCGAAACCCCAAGCCCTAAACCGTGACCTCAAGGCCGCTCACCCTACGAACCCCAAAACCTCTGACAGTGCCACTACGACGACGCCCACCCCTTGCCCGGACGCGGGCTTCGATGAGCTCTGAGCCCAGAGTTGAGTTTTGTTTCTGAGAGGTTGGGGGTGGGGCGCTCTTGGAAGTTAGGGTATGGCAGGAGGGGGAAGATGGAGGGCCTTCAGTGCGCTCCAAGGAAAACGAGAGAGGAGCCCTGTCTTTCGGTCATGGCCTTTAGTTACCCAGCAAACCCGAGATTGCTTTGACTTATAGAACCCGAAGCCCCTAAACCCTGAACCCGCCAGCGTATCATGAAGCCGGGTGTCGCGCGCGAGCTCCAGCTTCACTGAGATCTCCCCGCAAAGGAGCCCCTCCCGCCCCAAAACCCAAAACCCAAAACCCAAAACCCAAAACCCAAAACCCAAAACCCCAAAACCCAAAACCCAAAACCCAAAGCCCTAAACCTAAACCCATAAACCCCAAACTCCGTAAACCCCGTAACCCCTAAACCTTGGGATGTTCCCCAAAAACTAGCAGTTCCTTAGTAGGGATCATCGTGCCCCCTACTATAATCCCTACTTCTATGGGGGAACATCCAACCTAAACGCCACAAACTGCATAAGCCCCATAAACCCTAGACCCTATCCATGCCCGCCAGGGATGATCCGGAATATTGCGCGCGGCCCCTGGTACATGGCGTCGAGGGTTGGTAGGGTGCAGGGCTTTAGGGTGTAGGGTTTCAGGCCTAAGGATCTAGGGCTCAGAGTTTGGGGTTTCAGGGTCTCGGGTTTCAGGCATTAGGGTTCCGCTGTGCCCCCCCGACCCAGTTGAGAGCTCTGGTATCGATCTCCAGCTGCCCTTCCCTTGCCATCTAACTCTACACACCTTAGATCTGAAACCCTAAGCCGTAAACTTTTGAAAGCCAAGCCGAAGTCCTCAACCCTAAACCCTGTACCCTACCTACAACATTAGGCACAGGCGAGGTTGCCTCACCATGCACAAGGCTTCAGGGTTAAGGTGATTAGGTTTTCGGGGTTGAAGGCTTAACTTTACCTAAACCCTACACTCTAAACCTAAGCCCTAAACCCGAAATCCTAATCCCTAAGCCCTAGTTAAACCCTAGGGCTTAGGTGCTTCATGAATTGTTTATGAACGATGTCAAAAGTCGATTGATACCGATCCCCAGCCCGATGTCACCTGCACTCACTGCTCCAAGAGGGCCATGTCGGAAGCCTGAAGCACCAAAGCAACCACAGTTGAGGGCTGAAACTCGGGGGTTTTGTTGTTGGGGGTTTAGGGTTTAGGGTTTAGGGTTTAGGGTTTAGGGCCTCTTGCAATCCCACCTCGGGAAGTGTCGTGGAAGCTGCTCAGAACACGCCCATCGGGACCTGGACCACAGAGAAGAAAGCCAGGGCCTTGGTCGCGGGCTCTTGCCACGGGGCTTTGAGGCTTTCAGAGACCTCGGTTTTTGTGGACCCGAGATGCCCCTCAGGGTGAAGGGTTCAGGGATTCCCCTCCTACTAAACGTCCTTAGTAGGGATTACAATAGGGGGTATCATAGTACCTATGGAGGCCTGTTCGTATCAGGCGGAACCTCCCAAGGTTCAGGGGCTGAAGGGTTCCAGGCCTCGCTATGAAAGCAGGGCCGGCTCCAGCACATTTTTCGGATCCCAGCGCATGTGGTGAGTCCTCTCAGCTCTGGTTCCCTTCTTGGGTACCTGTCATGAAGGGATAGGGCATATTTGGGATAAGCAAGAAAGGGCCATCATGTAGATGACTGCCCACATCCCTGGCCCGCATGCGCCTGGCGCTGATAAGGACTTTTGCTGCAAGACCTTCGGCAGGGGATGCCCCGGAGTCCATTACGACTGCCTGGGCCTCGAGGGGCTGAAGTGGTGCCGTGGCTTGAGGGATTCCTGGCTTGGGGGGTTTAGGGTTTGGGGTTTGGGGTTTGGGGTTTAGGGTTCTACAACCTTGCATGCAGACGAGAATACCCACGCGCGCAATGGAGTGAAGAACCCATTCCGAATTTGCACCATGAGCCCGCATGCTGCCAGGTGATATCGACGCCCACATTTGGCAGTACGCCTGGTCTCTGACGAAGAAGGACCCGTCAAATTCAGGTCATTGCTTGTTTCGCAGCTTACCCCTCCACCTCTTAAACATCCCCCCCCCAACATCGATCCTACCCCAGACTGACAGAGGTTGCCAGGTCAGGCTTTGCTTTTTCGGGGTCCTGCCAGCAGTGCGCTCTGACATGGTCCCTCACCACCCCCTTCCCCCCCCCCCCCCCGACCCCGAAGCCTATCTCCGAAGGGCTTGAGCAACGGTCTTGCCAGGCGTGGTGCTGCCTGCATCATCATGTTGGATGCTATCCACACTACGACTGCGACACGGCTGGGTGCTTACACACGTCAGGTTTATGTACACTCGCTGAAAGGCGGAGGATTGCCACGCAGTGAAGAAAGTCGTACCTTGAAGGGTTGTTGTGAATCGGGGCCTTCGGCCCCGAGCCCTCCACTCATCTTTGCCGGTGAAGGGGGCAACAGTGGTTGGTTTAGGGTTTAGGGTATCAGGGTTTGTATGCCCTCCTCAATCTTCAGTTCTTTTTGACTCGGCGGGCGCTCCAATGAAGGCCTTAGTAGGCCCAGAACTCCAAGCGTAAACCTGCGAACGAGGCCGTGACGTCTTGGTCACCCGAGAAGCAGGTCTGGTGCTGTCTGGCTTCCCAGCAGCTGTCGGCTGATTGAGGTTTCGGGGACTAGGGAATGATTGGGTTTCGGGTGTTTCGGCTTGCACTTCAGATATAGGGTGTATTGCCATAGCTTACATAGCTTGACTTTCAAAACCTGCTCCGAGGCCACCATGAGAAGAAGGGCTGTGAGCTCTACGACTGCTACGGGGCGCGACTAACCCTAAACCCTAAACCCTAAACCCTAAACCCTAAACCCTAAACCCTAAACCCTAAACCCTAAACCCTAAACCCTAAACCCAAAACCCAAAGCCCTAAACCCTTGACCCTAAACCCTAACCCTAAACTTGGTTCACTTGTTGAGGGTGCTTCCTTTGCAGGGGGGCTCCGGTCCAAACTCATGCATGGCTTTAGCCGGCAGCTTGCTGAACTCCGAAACTCTGACCTTGGAGGCAGTTTCGATTGTCAGTCCTGGCAGCTGGATGTGCAATCTCTTTACGCCCATCTTCCTCGACTGCCCGCGCAGCTTGTGTCTTAATGGCCCCTTGCTACATGCAGATGGCCCTTTTTCTGTCGGTTTCTCTGGAGCTCGCAAGAGATTTCGAACCACTTGGTTGACTTTTACGAAGGGGTCGTTGCAGATTCGGGGTCGCCTTTGGGGGTTTGAAGCACGGGGCTTAGGGAATTTCGGGCCTTAGCCCCGACACCCAAATGGGGGTTTGCGAAAATGGGGCGACCCCCAATATAGATCCCCAAGTAGTAGGATTCCTTCATACTAAGGACCCCAATCCCTAATTTCGTAAACCCCCAAATCCCCTCCCCCACATTGGTAGTTGTCTAAATTAGGGTCCCTTTTGGGGATCCCTTTTTAAAGAGTGCCGCCTAAACATAGGAACCCAAAAACAGACCCTAATTTAGAGAACTACCCACATGATCCTTGTCCGCAGTCTCCGACACTGTGGTCAAAGCAGCACAAAGACTGGTGCTGCAGGCCGGAGAGTCTTCCCCCTGGCTCTCAGTAGGGACTCAGGGAATGGGGGCCGTCATTGCAGAGGTCGAGAGACAGGGAGGGTGCAGGGTTCATGGGAGGCAGAGGAGTTTTAGTGTTTCGGGAGGGAAAGAGGGAAGTTCGGCAAGCGAAGTTTGAGATAGACGGCGGGGGCTTAGAGCTTAATTAGGGTTTAGGGTGTAGGGGGGAGTGCGAGGGGCCTGGAGAGAAGGGCGGGATCAGAGGAGTGGCAGCCCACAGAAGGCGTCCACCATCGCGCAGAAGTGTAAAACCTTGAAACCCTGCACCCCAAAGCCGCAAACACCCCCAAACAATAAACCCTAAACTGCCCTAAACCCTGAACCTTAAACCCCAAACCCTCAACCCTAAACCCTTGAAAGCAGCCAAGAAGCTTAAAGAGCCCTAAGACCCGGAGAGATCCTACTATTTGGGGTCTAATTTAGGGGTCCCCACTAAACCCTAAACCCTAAACCCTAAACCCTAAACCCTAAACCCTAAACCCTAAACCCTAAACCCTAAACCCTAAACCCTAAACCCTAAACCCTAAACCCTAAACCCTAAACCCTAAACCCTAAACCCTAAACCCTAAACCACCATGTGCTTCTCCTTCCGGTCAGGCAACATGGTCAGGGTTGCTCGTGCCGGCCCCAGGGCTTCGGGGTTTAGGGTGTAAGGCTTTAGGCTGAGGGTGCAGGTTTAGGTTGAGGGCTTGGGGGAAAGGTCGGCGGACTGTCAGAAGTCCTCAGAAGCTTAGGCTCAGGAGTGGATCTTGAGGGGTTTTGACCTAAACCCTGAGCCCCAAGCCCTAAGCCCTAAGCCCTAAGCCCTAAACCGCAAACCCTAAAACGCCCGAAGCCCTGAACCCTCAGTCTTCACCGAAAGCTCCTTCAGCCCTCGCTCTTGCCGAGGGAACTGGAGCCGCCCGAAGCCCAGCTGCTCCTGTCTGCTCCTGCCCTGGCCAAGAGTTGCTTTTCGAGGTTTAGGGTTTAGGGTTTGGGTTTCGGGTTTCGGGTTTAAGGTTTAGGGTTTCGGGTTTCGGGTTTAGGGTTTAGGGTTGGAGGGCGTTCCCTCAACATGACGCTTTCTTTCTGAAGGTACCACTGTCAAGGAGGCGACGGCCAGAACATCTACTGGCCCAGCTCTGAGTGCGATTCAATGGAAACCTCTTGCTAAGACCCCAAACCCTAAACCCGATAAACCCGACAAACCCGACAAACCCGATAAACCCGATAAACCCGATAAACCCGATAAACCCGATAAGCCCTAAACTCTAAACCCCAAACCCCAAACCCCAAACCCCAAACCCCAAACCCTAAACCCTAAACCCTAAACCCTAAACCCTAAACCCTAAACCCTAAACCCTAAACCCTAAACCCCAGCTGAGAGAGCCTCTGTCGCGATGGCACTAGTCCTGCTTCTCAGGCCTCCTTAGGAATCCCAGGTGCTTAGGGTTTAAGGACTTATGATTTTAGGGGTTGAGGGTTGAGGGTTGAGGGTTGAGGGTTGAGGGTTGAGGGTTGAGGGTTGAGGGTTGGGGGTTTAGGGTTTTAGGGTTTTAGGGTTTTAGGGTTTTAGGGTTTTAGGGTTTTAGGGATTTAGGGATTTGGGGTTGTAGGGTGTCAGGGTTTGAAGGTTTAGGGTTCGGGACTCAGGGTGTGGCCCCTGGCAGCGGAAGCCACGGTTCAACGACATCCTGAATCCTCGATCAAGGGTTTAGGGTTTAGGGTTTAGGGTTTAGGGTTTAGGGTTTAGGGTTTAGGGAAACTCCCCTCAACTCTTCCCGAAATCTTCGCCCCTCAACGCCACACCCTTGATTCAAAAAGAAACGAAACTTTTCGAAGCTGAGTCATTCGCTCTGACCCCTATTCCCTGCGTCCCGCCACGAAACACCCTAATCAGTAGCAACGTCATTCCCCAACCCCTATCTTGCTCTTACTATCACATAAGCCCTGAACCCTAAACCCTAAGCCCAGGAGCCCTGAGAAGAAGGATTGGTGCTGCGAGGCTCTCGGACTGAGAGCCCTGGGCTTTGACGGCTTTTTTCGGGGGTGTAGGGTTTCGGGTTTAGGGTTAGGGGCTTAGGGTTTAGAGTTTAGGGTTTGGGGTTTAGGGTTAGGGGTTTAGGGTTTAGAGTTTGGGTGGGTGAGGCTTGTGGCTCAGGGGCTTCAAAGGCCCTTAACCTTGCAGGGCCTGGGAGTGCCCGACTCATCCTCCAATTTTTTTCAAGAACATCCGCTCTCAGGATGAAGGGCTCAGGGTCTCAGGTCTTCGGATTCGGGGTTTAGGGTTTAGGGGTTTAGGGTTTAGGGCTTAGGGTTTAGGGTTTAGGGTTTAGGGTTTAGGGGGTACTGGGCTCGGGTCCTGGGCCTCTGAAAGCAGCGACTGTGGACCCACCGAGGCGAGCACAAGAAGATCGGCTGTTCCGAGCCGCTCGGCCGAAGGACAGCTGTGCAGTGAACGCGCCTCCCCAAACCCTAAACCCTAAACCCTAAACCCTAAACCCTAAACCCTAAACCCTAAACCCTAAACCCTAAACCCTAAACCCTACACCCTGAAACCTGAACCCTAGACCCCAAAACCCGAAAACCTTAAGCCCCAAAGCCAAAACCTTAAACCCAACACCTGAAAGCCCCAAACCCCAAAACCTGAAGCCCTAAACCCCTAAACCCCTAAACCATAAAACCCCCAAAACCCCAAAACCCCAAAAACCCTAAAACCCTAAAACCCTAAAACCCTAGAACCCTAAAGCCCTGAAACCCTAAAACCCTAAAACCCTAAAGCCCTAAAACCCTAAAACCCTAAAACCCTAAAACCCTAAAACCCTAAAAGCCTAAAAGCCTAAAAGCCTAAAAGCCTAAAAGCCTAAAAGCCTAAAAGCCTAAAAGCCTAAAAGCCTAAAAGCCTAAAACCCTAAAACCCTAAAACCCTAAACCCTAAAACCCTAAACCCTAAAACCCTAAATTCCTAAAACCCTAAACCCTAAACCCTAAACCCTAAAACCCTAAACCCTAAACCCTAAAACCCTAAACCCTAAACCCTAAACCCTAAACCCTAAACCCTAAACCCTGAACCCTAAACCCTAAGCCCTAGCTAAATCCTAAATCCCAATCCTCCAGCCCTCTTGGCTCTCTTCTTAGGCCCGACTTCGGCGGCGGTCATCACCACCATCATGAGCAGCATGAAGGCCTTTGGGTGTTTAGGGCTTGGGTTGGGGGTTCTCCTTTCGAGAATTGGGTTTCAGGGTTTCAGGGTTTCAGGGTTTCAGGGTTTCAGGGTTTTAGGGTCCAGGGCCTGAAGCCCTGAGTAAACCTAAGCTCCAAACTCTACAGTCGGCACTAGGCTCAAACGCTCAGTTCCGCCCCCTTTAAACCTTGAACCCTAACCCTAAACCCTAAACCCTAAACCCAACTCACAAGGGGCTCTGAGGGGCAGGTGTGTTCGTGGGAACAGATCGATGCGCTTCTTGATCGTAGAGATTGGCCGACATTCGGGAGGGCTTTCGGGGTTTAGGGTTTACATTAAGTCAAACCCTAACCCAAAAAACTAAAAACCCTGAAGCCTTAAAAATCTACAAACCCTGAACCCAACAAAGCCAACCATGTGAGGGTTTTAGTTTTTGGGAACCGACTGCCCTAAACCCTAACATCAAAACCCTAAACCTTAAACCCTACACCCTAGACCCTAAACCCTAAACCAACAACCCCAAAGCGAGAGGCTGCAAGAAAGCCTGCCATTGGGATGGCCAGAGTCACACCTGCCAAGACCGGATCAAGTATGCCGGGGCCTTGGGCAAGGGGCGCCAGTTCGTCGGGCTCTAGGGTTTAGGGTTTAGGGTTTCGGGTTTAGGGTTTAGGGTTTAGGGTTTAGGCGGAGCTAGAACCCCAAACCCTAAATCCTAGCCCTAAACCCTAAACTCCAAACTTCAGGCTATAGGGTGTAAGATTTGGGGCTTCAAGTTTCGGAGTGGGAGGTCGGTGCTCTGGCCAGCCGAAAGCGCCGAACGGCAAAATTTGTTTCCACGACCCTCTGGGCGAACAGCGTTGGGTGTTTAGGTTTAGGGTTTAGGGTTTGGGGTTTAGGGTTTAGGGTTTAGGGTTTAGGAACCCTAAACCCTAAGCTTTCAAACCTTAAACCTTAAACCCCGGGGTTCGTGCCACCGCCAACTTATAACCCCCTCTTCCCCCCTTCATACCCCCCCCCCCCTCTCCCCTGGCCCAGGCAGCATCGCACCGATTTCAGAACCAGCAGCACGCCTGTGCCCAGCGCTCGGGTTTAGGGGACTTGGGGGCTAAGGCTTGAACCCTAAACCCTAAACCCGAAGCCCGAAACCCTAAAACCTAAACCCTAAACCCTAAGCCCTAAACCCTAAACCCTATCTCCTCACCCCTGGAGGCAGGGGAGGAGAACCCAAGCGCGCTCCCACAACCCGCCCGACCTTTGGCGAAGTCAGTCTCATCTCAGCTACCCTGAGCCCTGTGCAGGACTTAGGGTTTCGGGTTTCGGGTTTGAGGTTTGGGGTTTGGGGTTTAGGGTTTAGGGTTTCGGGTTTAGGGTTTAGGGTTTCGGGTTTAGGGTTTGGGGTTTAGGGTTTAGGATGTACGTTGTTCGTGACCCAGACCGCGGCGGTTCACCTCGTGGCTGGGGAGTGCGACTTCTGCTGGGCGCCCAGTCGCAGCCACGGTGCAGCTCCAGAGATCTCCTAAACCCTAAACCCGAATCCCTAAACCCTAAGCCCTAAACCCTAGACCCTAAACCCTAGACCCTAACCCTAAACCCGGGAGACTAAACAAGCCTGCAAGTCACAAGGTGGCGAGTGCACCGTGGAGAGGTCTGGCTGTCGGAAGCCTAGACGGCACGGGTTGGCGCCAGAGATCATCTGGGAATCAGGTTTCGGGTTTAGGGTTTCGGGTTCAGGGTTCAGGTGCTACATCAGGGTTCAGGGTTTAGGGTTTCGGGTTTATTGGTTAAGGGGTTTTCGGGTTGAGACGTCTAGGATCTAGGAGTTCAGGGCCGCACGGTGCCCTAGAGCCGTTTAAAGCCCTAAACAACCCGACGCCCTAATTAGGGTTTAGGGTTTAGGGTTGCTAGCGAGGGTAACGGGAGTATCTCGTAGTTTCTGGGGGGTCCCCCCCCCCCACCCCCCCAACCTCCCTTGCCACAAAGCTTATACACGGCAATGCTAAAGGATTTTAGCAAAAGTTAGCTCGGGCACTCGAGCCTTATGTCTTCGCCCTGCGGCTCAGACATTTCAGGAAGCGGCTCAGAAAGCAACATTTCACCCAACCTGCCGGCCAGGGGGCCGTCAGATCTTCGCCTCGGTATATCTTACCCTTGGGGGAAAACAGATTCAGCGGCAGCTTCGCATCTTCCTTCAAGTAGGACTAACCGAAATGCTAACAACCCTAAATGCTAAGAAGCCTCCCACCCCTCCCCTCCCCTCCCTTTGAGGCCACGTCTGAACCCTAAACCCTAAACCTGAAACCCTAAACCCTAAACCCTAAACCCTAAACCCTAAACCCTAAACCCTAAACCCTAAACCTTGAAACCTAACCCCTAAACCCGAAACCCTAAACCCTAAAAACCCTAAACCCTAAACCTAAACCCCTAAACCCCTAAATCCCTAAATCCCTAGACCCCTAAACCCTAAACCCTATAAACCCCCTAAACCCTAAACCCTCAACCCCTACTAAACCCTAAACCCTGCACCCGAAACCTCTGAGGCTACGTCTACTGGCACAAGGAGGATTCGCACTTTTCCACCCACCACGTCGTGACCACCGTGACGTTCAGACCCCAGAGTCGACACAGGGGTTTAGGGGCTTTGGGATTTAGGGGTTTTAGGGTTTAGGGGTTTAGGGGTTTAGGGGTTTAGGGGTTTAGGGGTTTAGGGGTTAGAGGGTTTAGGGGTTTAGGGTTTAGGGTTTAGGGTTTAGGGCTACCAGGGAGGTTTTAGGGGCGTTAGGGGGGGTTTAGGGGTTTGGGGTAGAACCGGGGTTTAGGGTTCAGGTTTTTGGGGGGTTTTCGGTCCAGTGCTGCAACTTTGGAAGCCCCTAAACCGAACCCCCGCTTACAACGCTGCCAGAAGTGCTGGCCCTGCTACCCCGAAGTCTTCATATGAGTTGGCAGCCCTACACCCTAAACCCTAAACCCTAAAACCCTAAACCCTAAACCCTAAACCCTAAACCCTAAACCCTAAACCAGAAACCTAAACCCTAAACCCTAAACCCTAAGTTTGATTAACTGGGTATTTCTATTTTGCAAAGTCGGGGTTTGTCAATCTCCCCCAATCTAGAATCATGACTATAGGCACTTTGTTTTTCAAACTCCCAAGCCCTAAGCCCTAAACGTCTACCCTAAGCCCAAGCATGTCCGTGGGTTTCAGGCTTGCGATTTAGGCTGGGGGTTGCGCCATGAATGGGCTAAGGCATCTTGGCTCCAGCTACCACTGCCACGCGCGGAGCCCGGCAGGTATTTCCTTCAGTTCCAGAAAGGGCCCGCAGTCTGTTGCTCAGATCAACTCCACCTGGGTAGACTGGTGTAGGGTTTGTCGGGTTTGTAGGGTTTACCTTGCACCCCCGCATGCACGCCGAGGATGGCATGGACGAAATGTGGGCGCAGGAGCAGAAAGACTTCTGCTGCTGGCCGCGTGCTCGGCCGTTGTTTCATCTGCTCTGCTCGCGCTTGGTCGTTTTGAGCCCCCCAAGACGCTAAACCCTACACCCCACACCCCACACCCTAAACCCTAAACCCGAAACCCAAAACCAGAAAAACTAAAGCCTCAAACCTAGCCCTAAACCCTAACACAGAAGCAACACCTAACCCCACCTTCGCCACCGCGCCGAGGAAGTATCGCAAGGGGTGCCCCGCCCCAGTCGTTCCTGCGGCCAGCTACGACTGTGCTGTCCTCGGAGCCAACTTGGCGGGGAAATGGGGTATAGGGTTTAGGGTATAGGGAAAAGGGTTTAGGGTTCAGAGTATAGGGTTGAATTAGGGAATTAGGTAGGAGGGCTTAGGGTTTAGGGTTTAGGGTCTGGGGATTTAGGGTCTCTAGTCTCTAGGCCCTTAAAGGGTTTAGGGTTTGGGGTTTAGGGTCTGGGGATTTAGGGTCTCTGGTCTCCAGTCGCTTGAAGGTCTATACATGCTAAGATGGGTACCTAATGCTTCCATCCCCTGCGAGGAACTCGTCAGGATGTTTAGGGTTCAGGATGTTGGAGAGCTAGAGGACACAGGGTTGGTCTCTAGGATGTAAGCGATGTGAGGGCTTACAGGCTTCAGGGAGGTTTGGGCCAGGGTTCAGGGTTCAGGGTTCAGGTTTCAGGGTTCAGGGTTTAGGGTTTAGGGTTCAGGGTTCAGGGTTCAGGGTTTAGGGTTTAGGGTTTAGGGTTCAGGGTTCAGGGTTCAGGGTTTAGGGTTTAGGGTTCTGACTCGGATCCCAGATGTTGAGCTGCAGGGTGTTTGGGGATGTGTGGGGTGGCTTGTCCCTGAGACCTGGAACCCTCGGCCTCAAGCCTATCTGGAAACCCTTAAACAGTAGAAGCGCTAGACCCCAAGCCCCAAACCACGAACCCTAGACTTGAAATTTGGCTCCTCTGCCTCGTGTAGGTAGAGCTGAGAGTACATCACAAGCCTACGAAGCGAAGGTTCAGCTTCTTGGGAGGGCCAGAGTTGCTGGAAACCTAAATACAAGAGCCCTAAACCCTGAACCCCGAAACCCTAGAACACCCCTTCAGGATTCAGTCCCTTTAGGACTTTAGGGTTTGCGACTTTCCTTGGGGCGGAGGTGATGCTGGCTTCGATCAGTGGGAGACGGCCCTCGCCTCAGTTGACTTGGGAGAGTTTGGGGTGACTGGGGTTGGGGGCGATCGCGATCTGGAAGTGTTGATAGGCAGCCAAAGAGACGGCGGGCAGGAGAGGGACAGGGAGGGTTTCTTGCCAACAGAGAGTTTCGGCTGCCAGTACTCCTGAGTTTCTTGATCCTTCTCCAGCAGTCTCATGAACTTGGCAGGTCAGAGATTTTTGACCCTTCCTAACTCCTTGTACTCCTTGTGCTGATGGGGTTAGGTTTTGGGGGCTCGGAGGCTGGAGTCTGCAGACATGGACTCTCTTGCGTTGCTGTTCATGTCTTCACCAGGAAGTCTTAAACCCAAATAGTCCTCCAACACACACCCAAAAAGTACCCCAGCAAAAGCCCAGAGATCTGACGCTATCGGGCCAATCCGGGCCGCAAACCCAGTGCCCAAGCCACTGAACCCTCCCAAAACGCTAAGCTGTCGGACTCCTACACCCCTACGGGTTTAGGGAGCAGGGCTCCGAATTTTGGGCTTAGGGCTTCGGGCTTAGGGTTCTGGATTTTGGGTTTGGGGTTTCGGGCTGAAGGTTCTGGATTTCGGGGGATTTTGGGTTTAAGCCCCTAAGCCCCAAGCCCTAAGCCCTAAGCCCCAAGCCCTAAGCCCTAAGCCCTAAGCCCTAAGCCCTAAGCCCTAAGCCCTAAACCCTAAACCCCAAACCCTAAACCCTAAACCCTAAACCCTAAACCCTAAACCCTAAACCCTAAACCCTAACCCTAAACCCTAAACCCTAAACCCTAAACCCTAAACCCTACACCCTAAACCCTAAACCCTAGGGCTGCCGGTTCGGGGTTGATTTTAGACGCGCTTGGTTGGCGGAGGCATGGGAGGCCGTGCGCAAGGAATGGTGCTGCAAGCCGCTTCCTTGGGTTTGTGTAGCTTTGAGCTTGGGGATGGGCCCCTTTGCGGTTTAGGGTTTAGGGTTTAGGGTTTAGTGTTTAGGGTTTAGGGTTTGGGGTTTGGGGTTTAGGGTTTGTAGGGTTCAGGGCCCCAAACCCCAAATTTTTTGTATGCTGTATCCTTCGCGTCTCTCCCAAGTAATTAGGCGACGACGACCCGCTTTGCGTTGCAGAGTCCTCCCCCTTGAGAATACGTTCCCCATGCCGGCTCCGTGGCTGTTGTAAGCCAGACCCTAAAACCCTAAGCCCTCTGCCGCCAAACCCTATTTGGGTTTTTTTAGGGCGCTGGAGTGTTCATGTTAAGGCTTTGGGATGCTGTTCAGTTTTAAAGCAAAGCCTAAGGCCTTGCGCAGCTTTGGGGTCTGGGGTTTTCTCCTCGTAAGCCTTCAGCCGCTTAGAGTCTAGGTTTGCCATGAAGGCTTAACCCCTACATGCCCGAGCCCCTAAGCGCTAAACCCTATATATGCCCCAAACTCGAGCCGCCCAAAAGGCTCCTACCCGGCCCCCTCTCCAAACGCTAAACCCTTAAACCCTTACTTAAACCCTTAAACCCTTAAACCCTTAAACCCTTAAACCCTTAAACCCTTAAACCCTTAAACCCTTAAACCCTTAAACCCTTAAACCCTTAAACCCCTAAACCCTTAAACCCTTAAACCTTAAACCCTAAGCCCTCAACCCTAAGCCCTAAACCCCAAAAGCCCTAAGCCCTGGTGCTTCAGGCACCGCTCCCGCGCCTGCCAGCGGTTCCAGTGCGACCTGGGCTGGGGTCTGAGCAGTTTGGGTTTGTAGGGTTTAGGGTTTCTAGGGTTCAGGGTTTAGGGTTTCTAGGGTTTAGGATTTCTAGGGTTTAGGGTTCAGGGTTTCTAGGGTTTAGGCTTTAGGGCTTGGGGCTGAGAGCTGCCTAAGTCGCTTTGACCCCTTAAAGCCTTAAGCTGTCAACTAAATCCAAGCTTTGAGGAGGGCTGGCGTAGGAACCTCCATGTTCACAGCATGCTCCTGGCGTCAGTGACTTGAGAGTCAACGGGGTCATTCTTCCTAAAGCCCTAAGGCCCTGAACCCTCCAACGCCCCAAAACTCCTACAGACCTCTCCAACATTCCGAAACCCCACACCACGAAAACTGCCCAAACCTTAGACTCCAAAGGCCCAAAGCTGCCAGATCCTACAGCCCTGGAACCCTACCCTAACCAGCGCGACGCTCGCTGTTTTCCAAAGGTGTAGGGCTTCCACACCTGCACGAGTAGCCCATCGTCGGCGATGACAGACACGCCTTTTACCAAATAAGTCCCCGACAACCCTGAACCCCTAAAACCCCAAATGCTAAGCACCGAAGCTCTAAGCCCCCCCAACCCTCAACCCGAAGCCCTTGAAGCCCGAAGCTTCCATTGCGGCCGCGTTCCGCGACTCCTTTTTGTGGTGCGAGCATTCCAAGTACATTTGCTTTTGGGCCATGAGCAGCGTTGAGACAAGCGAGAGCGTCTGCCTGCCCTGGCATGTGCCCGGACTCCACTACACAGGTACGCTGTTCTGCCCGAAGCCGTTCACATCTACACTGGAAAATACATACGTCATGCGCTGTGATACCCGGTCATACCTGGTCTTGACCCGTCACCTCCGGTCACGCCCGGTCACGTCAGTCATACCCGGTCATACCCGGGCATACTCGGTCATACCCGGTCATACTCGGGCATACCCGGGCATCCCGGTCATACCCGGGCATACCCGGTCAGACCTTGTCATGCTCGGTCATACTGTCCCGTGGTTGTTTGGCAGTCGCTGTTTCCCGTCACAGTGCTTTAACCCTAAACTTACCCCGAAGACCCGCTAAACCCTAAGCCCTAAGCCCTGAACCCTGAACCCTGAACCCTGAACCCTAAACCCTAAACCCTAAACCCTAAACCCTAAACCCTAAACCCCAAACCCCAAACCCTAAACCCTAAACCCTAAACCCTAAACCCTAAACCCTAAACCCTAAACCCTAAACCCTAAACCCTAAACCCTAAACCCTAAACCCTAAACCCTAAACCCTAAACCCTAAACCCTAAACCCTAAACCCTAACCTAAACCCTAAACCCTAAACCCTAAACCCTAAACCCTAAACCCTAAACCCTAAACCCTAAACCCTAAACCCTAAACCCTAAACCCTAAACCTTCAAACTGAGGCCTGCAGAACTTCCAGGGCCTCTGGGGGCCACCGAAAAAGGCCTGGTGCTGCAAGCTGGGGAGCCAAGAGCTGCCAAGGCCAAGGGCTGAAGGGCTGAAGGGCTGAAGGGCTGAAGGGTTTAGGGTAGGGTTTAGGGTTTTGGGGTTTAGGGTTTAGGGATTTAGGTTTTAGGGTTCAGGGTTGAGGCTTCAGGGTTGAGGGTTTGGGTTGAAGCGGTTTGGGGTTTAGGGTTGAGGGTTTGGCTTGAAGCGGTTGGGGGTTTGGGGCTGAGGGTTTGGGTTTAGGATTTGGGTTCTGGTGGAGGGTTCAGGGGTTTTGGTTGAGCGTAAGGAGAAGTTTTTTGTTTTTTTTGCCGGCCTTTGGGTGGCTCCGTGAGTTTGGAGTGGCTAGCCTCATCGAGGGCGCAAGGCATATAGAAGCACACCTGAAACTGCTCCAGCAGGATTAGTTGAGAGTGTCCCTAAATCCGGAACCCTAAGCCCTAAGCCCCATAAGCCCTGCAAGCCCGATAAGCTCTGTAAGCCCTCTAAGGCCATACAAGCCCTAGAAGCCCTAGAAGCCCTATAAGCCAAGCCCTTTCAGCCCTTTAAGCCCTATAAGCTCTATGAGCCCGATAAAACCCTGAAAGCCCTACGAACCCCTACAAGCTCTAAGCTCGTCTCATGGACCTCAGAGTCGCATCGCACACCGAGGCACGAAAGCAAAGGCTGCATTGCCGGTTTCCAGTGGTTCGACCCTTGCCTGCATAGACTTCCGCAAGCCCAAGCCCAGGACTTTTTGGGAGGCTCTAGAAGTTCATGACGTAATGTGTACTCTCTCTCTCTCTATAGTGTATGTAGACCTGGGTATGTACATATGCTTATGCACAATTGAGGCTCCTAACAATTTCTCAATAGTACCAGGCACACAATTTAGGGAGGGAAGCCCGCAGCATCGGATCGCCCATGTACATTGCCAGTTCTCCCAACAGGGTTTAGGGTTTAGGGTTTAGGGTTTCGGGTACTTTCCTGGTCCCTAACCACATAGGGCCGAGCCTTTGGGTGTCAGGTGTTGCGCGTGTAGAGTTTCAGGTTCAGGGTTCAACGGCTTAGGGCTCAGGGTTTAGAGCTTTAGAGGTCTCAATGAGTTTAAGGGTTTAGGGTTTAGGGTTTAGGGCTCCGCACCCAAGGATTGCACGGAGAAAGCCGAGCGTTGGGTGTGGCGCCTCAGACCTCTGTGGGCTTGTGCGTGAACCAGGTTTGAGAGGTTCGGTTTGGGATGTTCCCCCTTCTACTAACAATCCATAAAAGAGGGATTATAGTAGGGGTGCTGTAGTCCCGATTGGGGACTGTTAGTGTAAGGGGGAACATCCCAAGGTTTGGGTTTTGGAGTTTACGTTGGGGGGGTGGCAGGTGTCGGGTTTGATTGGGATTTGCCTGGGGTTGGTTTGCGGGTTGGTCAGGGAACAATACCAGCTCTTCAGTGCCTGCACCCCAACCCCAAGAACCTGAACCCTAAGCCCAGACCCTGCATGCTTCCGTATGGTTTTCTTGGCCTTGAACCCATGAACAAAAAGCTGGTTACACCCCACAGCTATACTCGCTGAGGAGACGGATTGGACCCCTGAGAAGAAGGGCTGGTGCTGCTCGCCGGGGACTCAGTTGCTTGTGAGGTTTCGGGTTCAGGAAATTCTGCGTTTTTATGCACCCGAGTGCACCCACCCCTTTAGCCGGACTGTCATGTCTGGCCTTATGAAACCACTTCAACCACACTTTAGCCACACTAGTGCGCTAGTTGCAATCCAGGCAAGTGCAACAAGCAGACATACACACAGGACACAACGACCTTTCGTTTGTTTGTGCCTCCACTTTGTAAGGCACCTCATTCCCGAATTCCAGAGCACCTTTCGAGAAATCTAAACATCCTTGTGGTTATCCTTACCCCCCTGAACCCTAGATCCCGAGGAACAAGAAGATGGGGTGTCCTGGCTGGCATTGGCATCCAGGCTTCGCGGGGCGGTTGGGGACGGAGGGTTGTGGGTTTCGGGGGGGGGGGGGGGGGGGGGGGGGGGCGAGGGGTTTAGGGCGGGGGTGTCTCCCGTTCTCGGGGTCTGTTAAGCAGGTTCGGGTTCGTGGTGACTCTTAATGGTTCGGGTTTTGGGGGGTTTAGGGCCATTTTGGGGAGGGCGGCGGTCAGAAAGACTCGGGGCTGAATGAACGTTCCTTTCAGACCCTGAACCCCAAGCGCCCTGGCCACCTTCAACCCCAAACCCCAAACCCCAAAACCCCAAACCCCAAACCCCAAACCCCAAACCCCAAACCCTAAGCCCTAAACCCTAAACCCCCCCATGTGGATGCGCAGGCGGCGTGACGCACGTGACCCACACCACCTACACCACGCACCACCACTCCTCGGGAGGGCGCTGGGCCGTGAGCCGAGAATGCACCTGTCAAGGGGGCAAAAGAGCTCCAAGGTTTAGGGTTTAGGGTTTGGGGTTTAGGGTTTAGGGCGTAGGGCTAAGGGCTAAGGGCTTAGGGCTTAGGGCTTAGGGCTTAGGGTTTAGGTTTAGGGTTTAGGTTTAGGGTTTGGGTTTAGGGTTTGGGGTGGCTGCCGCCAGCAGGTTTTTGCTTGAAGCATGAGTTGCTGAGATTCGTGAGCTGCGAGCGACGTGTTTGGATCAAAGCTGCAAGCGTCCTGTGCATCGCCCTCAGCTTCAGCCCCAACACCAGAACCCTAGACCCTGAATCCTAACTCCTAGGTTCAGCCTACCCCCAAACCCTAAACCCTAAACCCTAAACCCTAAACCCTAAACCCCAAACCCTAAACCCTAAACCCTAAACCCTAAACCCTAAACCCTAAACCCTAAACCCTTGGAAGCAGACATCGGCTGCTGAATGACGTGGGGCATCGGCGCGTGGAGTTGGCAACCCAGGCCTGCGAACCCTAGACCTTAAACCCTAAACCCTAAACCCTGAGCCCTAAACCTAAGCCCTAAACCCTAAACCCTAAACCCTAAACCTAAACCCTAAACCCGAAACCCGAAACCCTAAACCCCAAACCCCAAACCCCAAACCCTAAACCCTAAACCCGAATTCCGAAATTCCGAAACCCTAAACCCTCAAGTTTCTCAACCCCTAAGCCCTAAACCCTAAACCCTAAACCCTAAATTCCCAGTTTCCTAAACCCTAAACTCCCTAAACCCTAACCCCTCAAATTCCTAAACCCCCCTGAAACCCTAAACCCTAAACCCTAAACCCTAAACCCTAAACCCTAAACCCTAAACCCAGGCCTGTGCAAAGACGAGGCCTCGTTCCATGCTGCGCCGGGAAACTGCCATCGCGCATACTTGCCGCTTGGGTTGGGCACTGACTTGGGAGGTTTTGTTGGCTTGGGGTTTAGGGTTTGGGCTTTGTGGTTTAGGGTTTAGGGTTTGGGGTAAGGGTTTAAGGTTTGTATATTTTTCCTTTTGTCCCTCCTCCTGTGGTTGCAGAGACTAGTTTGCGAGGAGATCTATTTCTGCTGGTTTTGGCCCGCTAAGGCCCTGCTCACGGACCTGGCCCCCTCTTTGGCCGTGGCTGCGGGCCACGAGCACACGTGCGTTGTGAGGGCCGACGGCCAGCTGGTTTGCTTTGGGCGGAACGAGTGGGGGCAGTCTGACGTGCCTGGCGACCTCGGCCGCGTGCGAAGCGTCTCTGTGGGTAGGTTCCACACATGTGCAGTCAAGGCCGATGGCCACCTGACGTGCTTTGGATGCAACGACTATGGTCAGTGCGACGTACCGGATGATCTGGGACCAGTGCATGCTGCTTCCGCAGGCAGTTTTCACACATGTGCAGTAAGGTCAGACGGCCAGTTGGTTTGCTTTGGAACGAACACTCAGGGCAAATGCGATGTTCCAGACGAGTTGGGACCCGTTCTGGACGTTTCGGCTGGTCTTCAGCACACTTGTGCATTGACGCGGGATGGTGAGTTAGTCTGTTTTGGATCGGACCATGATGGTGAGTGTAATGTGCCGAGTGGTTTGGGGCCATTTGTACAAGTCTCAGCAGGCAGATTTCGTACATGTGCGGTGAAGGCAGATGGTGAGTTAGTATGCTTCGGTATAGGCCAGAATGGCAATGGCGACGTGCCTGATGCTTTGGGACCTGTCATCGCAGTCTCTACGGGCCACGAGCACACTTGTGCAATCAAAACGACTGGCCAACTTGCATGCTTCGGATCGAGCGATGACGAGCAGTGTGATGTGCCCAGTGATCTGGGGCCAGTGCTGGAAGTTTCAGCCGGTGTGCGCCACACATGCGCAGTGACGACTGATGGCCAGCTGGTTTGTTTCGGATTGAATGATTATGGACAGTGCGACGTGGCAGACTTCGGCCCCGTGCTGGCATAGCCGACCGCTTTCAAAAGGCACCTGCTGTGAAAAAGACGGAACTCCAAGCGCGAGTCGAACTCCCGGGCTCTAGCCGAGGGCTAGCAGTTGGATCAAGAAGTCTTCGGTTCTCGATTGCATAGGAAGCCTCCCCATGTTTGGGTTCAGGGTTCTTTGTGGCGAAACTGACCAGCGGCAAAAAGGATCACTGTCTTGTTACATGGTTACTGGGCTATCTCGTTTGGGTTTCTTGGAGCATTGAAGTGCGATGTACTCGGTGCTTTCCGTTTTTGTCAAAGCTGGCGCAAGGAGGAGCCATGTAAGCCACTGATGGAGGAACCATAAGCCAGAAGCCAAACAAATCAAAGAGGGATCAACAAGCAATCGGGGACTAATAGCGAATCAGACAGGAAGACAGGAAGACAGGAAGACAGGAAGGAGGGAAGGAGGGAAGGAGGGAAGGAGGGAAGGAGGGAAGGAGGGAAGGAGGGAAGGAGGGAAGGAGGGAAGGAGGGAAGGAAAGAAGGAAGGCCAATCTTACAGGGGGGCGGGGGGGAAAAATTGCAAGCTCCAAATATTGCAAAATTAAAGCATTTCTCCGCCAATGCGCAGACTCCAAATACGGTAAACATTACACCTACTCGCATGCTGCAAATATGCGGAAAAAATGGGCGCTTTGCGCATTCACAGGTTCCGAGATACAGGAAATTCTAGCATCTTTAATGTATTCGCCGGCTGCAAGAATGTGAGGGTTTACGATACTAGGAGTACCTTTCTGGCATCCTCATTTTCAGGGGATCCTACTATTTGGGGCTCTATTTCATAAATCCACATGTGGAAAGCCACAGCATTTCTGCCACTTCAATTCAAAGACGTCGAATGCGGCGAAACTTCCTATCCCATCTGCAACGGTGCCAGTGCAGCCCTCACTTAACTTCAGCAGAACATAAGGATAGAGGGAAGAGAATGCAGAAAGGAAGGAAGGAAGGAAGGAAAGAAGGAAAGAAGGAAGGAAGGAAGGCTTTGGGGTATGGCACTGTACGGACAAGTCTGGTAAGCGTACAAAGCTGGAACCGCCCTCAGCCCCCGAAAGCCAAACCACCAGAACATGAATTGAGTACTTGGCCGACACCCTAAACCCTAAACCCTAAACCCTAAACCCTAAACCCTAAACCCTAAACCCTAAACCCTAAACCCTAAACCCTAAACCCTAAACCCTAAACCCTAAACCCTAAACACTAAAACCCTAAACCCTAAACCCTAAACCCTAAACCCTAAACCCTAAACCCTAAACCCTAAACCCTAAACCCTAAACCCTAAACCCTAAACCCTAAACCCCAACCCCCAACCCCCAACCCCCAACCCCCAACCCCCAAGCCCCAAAACCCCCAACCCCTCCATCTGGTGCATCGGCTCCGAGGTTGTTGGCTGGCATGGCGGGGGTGGTGTACACCACGGCCACGGATGGCACAGCGGAGGTGGCGGTGGTGTGGCGGGTGGCGGTGGTGTTGTGGGTGGCGGTGGCGTTGTGGGTGGCGGTGGTGTGGCGGGTGGCGGTGGTGTGGCGGGTGGCGGTGGCGTGGTGGGTGGTGGTGGCGTGCATCACACCAGTTCGCGCCGACCTCATTCTGGAGTGTTCTGTTCAGGACTTGCCGCGGTTCCTTTTAGATGCACCCTGAAAACCTAACACCCTGCAATGAAACTCAGGCACGGCCCTAACCCCTAAACCCAAAACCCCTAAACCCCTAAACCCCTAAACCCCTGAACCCCTAAACCCCTAAACCCCTAAACCCCTAAACCCCTAAACCCCTAAACCCCTAAACCCCTAAACCCCTAAACCCCTAAACCCCTAAACCCCCTAAACCCCCCCTAAACCCCGTAAACCCCCTAAACCCCCTAAACCCCCGAAACCCTAAACCCCTAAACCCCTAAACCCTAAACCCTAAACCCTAAACCCCAAACCCCAAACCCCAAACCCCAAACCCTAAACCCTAAACCCTAAACCCTAAACCCTAAACCCTAAACCCTAAACCCGAAAGAGCGAGGCTACACTTCGACTGCCAAGCGGCTTTGCAAAACTGGGTGGGGACCTCTCAGCAGCTGGGGGCCTTCGGGTAGTTTAGGGTTTAGGGTTTAGGGTTTAGGGCTTAGGGTTTAGGAGTTAGGGTTTAGGGTTCGGAATCAGGGTGTTGGGTTTTAGGTTTCGGTTTTAGGGCGAGTCTTCTCTGAAGGGTTGGCGGTTCTGGGTTTAAGTGCTCCAAGGTGTTAGCCTCATGGTCGAAAGTTTAGGGTCTGGGGCTTAAGTTCTTTGTTTCTGGTTCTTCTAGCTTCAGTTTCTTACGCCGTATGTATATGTATACACACATGTATACTCATAGTAAACTGGCATGTAAAAAAATTCTAAGCCAATACGCAAGTTTCATGCAGAAAATGTATACATATACAGTCATATTCGTTTTTTGTACTGACATTGTGTATATGAATATATACGTATTCCTCACCCTTTGTGACAGTGTATTACTTGTTGGGAGGACGTGTGGGGTTGCGAGAGTGACTGGCTGACAGCTTATCAGGCAGAAAGCCCTTATAGGGTTTAGGAATTAGGGGTTCCCAAATCCTAAACCCGAAACCCTAAACCCTAAACCGACGACTTCGACTCACAGCTCGCTTGACTTCACTGGTGTACCATCAGAGTTGCTGGTTGTTGCAGATCTTTGTTTTGGGGAATCTGATGGTGCAAGGCAGAGGGTCCATATTAGATTTGGGGTTTCCTGAAACCCTGAACCCGGAACCCTACACTCTAAACCCTAAGCCCACAACTCTAAACCCTAAGCCCTCAGCGATAGATGAACTCCAGCGCCTCAGGGAGTAAACTCTACAAGCCCTAAATCCAAGCCGTCTAAACTCCAAGCCCCTAAATCCACAAAGCCTGCAAGCCCCCTGCAAGCCCTATAAAACCTGTGAACCCTAAACCCTAAACCCTAAACCCGAAACCCGAAACCCTAAACCCTAAATCCTAAACCCCAAGCCCTAAACCCTAAGTTTGCTCCGCAAACC